AATACATGATTGGACATTTGGGCTTCAATTTAACGTAAGAACAACTTTCCATTGGCCACTTTTTGATTCGTCCTTAATCGAGTAGTCATTATTGTTGATTGCAGCTGGCTTTTGGCCCTCAAGAGTAGATCCTACAAACATGTGATGGACTAAAGGAAAAACGATAGATTAAATGGTAATTAATGCCTGATCAATGTATACAGGAAACATAGTTTAATAATTGATTAGTGAGAGACAAAAGGAAAATTTAAGGAACCAAATGGATTAAGGAAAAATGCTTTTGTGCCCGCATCAAATTAGTGCCTTCCAACTGAAACTATACTAAATTTGCGATTGGAGATGAACAACATTATCCATCGACTTTATATATATATGCTTGTGACAGATAACGTAATTTCAGACGAGTGCTACATCAAAACGAGTATGACTGTACGATAATGATTCTATTTTTGTTTTTTTTATTGAAATAATGATTCTATTTTATTTCATGCTTAAGAACAGCCCATAATACATTTAGGGACAACACATCATTTAGGTGACTAATCTACCTGTAGAAAATTCGCAAAAAAAAAGGTTGTTAGTAATTTTCTATCCTAGAATTTGAAGATATTGGCATTCTAATACGGTATATCTATTAAACAATGCACACTTATAAATGTTAGATCATTAACATCAAACGTGATAAGTTGTAAAGTTTTATTATTATGCCACGATTATTGTCTTACATGGAGACAGAATAGGAATCACCTTTGACAAAGTCACAGTGGACCCTTTCGAGGGATTTCACACTTCTACATTCAATTGTTCTAGTTTCTCTTAAATAAAGAGGTGTCAATTTTAAGAATAATTATAGAGGATAGAAAATGCGTAGAGAGGTAAGAGATGTGTGATTTTCTACTGTAAATTTTTATTTCATTGTAGTAAATTTCTATAGGATTTCAAAATGACAAAACACAATACGTTGAGAGTGAACCATTATAAATCTTGCGTATTCTTATTTGTTTGATTTTATTCAACATTTTTTATTGCTCTAAATAATTTATAATTAGAGCATTCTTAACAAAACCTTCTATAAAAATACAACAACACATCTCAAGATAGGGGTTTTTTTTTCTCTCTTTTTAACCCTAGATGCCAAATTTTTTATATTTACCATAACCTGTGCAATCTACTTCTCGAAAAATAATATTTTTAAAGATCAGTGAGAATCTAAACTCCTTTTTTTTTTTTTTTTTTTTTTGCCCAAGAGAAATAACCAAAAACTTAGTAATACTTTATTTTTACTGATCAACTATAGGTCTTGGACCTTTTTTTTTCACCGACACATGAAATTATCAATTATATTTTGTGGTTGCACACTATGCAGAAATCTATTGCCCTTCCATGAAGTGGGAAGCCACGCACATTCATATCAGGGCAAGATTATCGTGTACTAATAACAATCCATTTTTCCAAACCCCACTTGGACCCCAACAAGACAACACATGAAAGATAATAACAACAAAAATGAATATAATAGAAAAGTTGAAACCTAACTAGAAATTATGCGATGAATAATATACATATATATATATATATCAATTTTTCAAAGCTTCATTGTACACGACACTTATGACATTTGAGTGGAATTGATGACATTATAGTCTATACAATCCGATTCCAATATACTACTTTAATGGTCCCAAATTCCCTACGTACGTTGTCATTACTCATTAGTTTAAGGGAATACTATATATTATTATTGGTGTGAATGCGATTTCGCCGAAAAAGAAAAAACAAAATTTCCTATAAAAAAAAAGAAAAAGAAAAAACAAAATTTGCGCAAGGTGCGGTCGTGCATGCGGATATATATTAATGTTTGAACTGAAAAAGAAAAAAAAATCATTTATATATTAAGTCGTTAAATGGGAAATTAACATGTTATCTTTTGGATCATTATAGATGATAGGATTTTTAGATTGGATGCCTATGTATTTGGTGTTATCCAATCTTTGATCCTAATCTCCATGCATGCGTGTCTTTCAGAAGTTGGATCATGAAATATACAGCTCATATAATTCTCAAGACATTAATACAAATGGATATGTGAACAAAAATGAAATAAATAAATAAATAAATAAATATAACGGATATGAAACATATTAGGGAAGGAGTTATTGGTGGAATAGGTGACCTTAAAACAGGTTAATACAGGACTGGATCAGCAGATATTTGTTGGTTCACCTGCTTTTCCTCAACTCCTAATATTAACGAACATAATTAATTATTATAATATCATGTGACTAATTCCCTCGATAAACTGTTAATTATATTTTTTATTGTTAAGGAAATTAGGTTATGTAATTTTGTTAATACATTGGAGATAAGTTTTGTTTATTCAAAATTAGTTATTCGTTCCTCATTAAAAAAAAAAAAAAAAATTGTTGGTACACTTTGCAACAACGCCAGTGAGGGATTTACAAACAATTAGCACAATGACCTTTTTCTATTTGATGTTAGTAATGCACGGATGATCAATGGCTGAATCAGATTAAATTTTTGTAGCCTTGTGAAATCCAAAAGATAAAATTAAAAAACAAGGTAGTAACAAAAGTATCTATTTCACATTTTTTTAATCAAAGTTTTGCAATATATAAAACAATATAGAAGACAAGACCGTTTGGAGATGTTAAATGAAGGCAGGTAAGCAAATAGAAGACGTATACTTTGAGCAGTAGTGATATGTATAATTTGATGTTTTTTAGCGTAGTTTCAAACAAAATAAAGACACTTAAACAGTACTGATATGAATATGAAATACTAATAATCTATATTTATAATACTTGTATGTTACATCAAATTATTAGCCTTATACTTTGGCATCTTGTGTGTACATATATATATATATATTAATAAAACGTTATAACCATTTTGGCAATCAATAGACATTTCAACTCATAGTTCAACTGACCCTTACTAGCTAGATGAACATACATATTATTATATATACACACACACACATATATATATATATATATATATGTATGTATGTATATGTATTCCAGCGACTTTACGTTGAATCTTTTGAACCAATACGATACGGTCCTTAAATGACGATTATTTTCCAACTTTATCTGTTGGTCCAAAAGGAATATTCTTTTCCAACAACAAAAGTGAATAGATTATATGCCTACGCAAAAAGTCAAAAATCTTTCAACAAATTCAGGGATCGAGTAATTTTCACTAGAATCAGTCATCAGACGCCATAGCCGTAGGGGGAGAAAAAAAATATTCCGAGAGAGATTACAGCTTGATTGTTGCTAAGAATCTGGATACTTTCAGTCAAGTGGTTGGAGAAGAATTCGAAACTGTAGATTTCTTTGTTAAGGTTCTCAGAATTATTTTCTTTCGTTATCCATAACTAAAATACGCCCTGGCCTGATCCTCATCATTGAGTGACGAAACAGAAAATCCAAACATTTGCCAAAACTGTGACGATGCTTTTTCGCACTTTCTCTTTTAATCCCATCATTTTCTTTCGGAAAAAAAAATCTTTTTTTTTTTTTTTTGTCTCACAACGCATTTGGAATATTGTTTCCTCTAATCGAAAATCGGAAAAAATAAAAATAAAAAAATATAACAAACTGCAAATGACAGGGGTGAATCACGAGCTATTTTTGGTCTCTTTCCTTCTCGGGAATCCCTATAACTGAACGAATCCGATTAGCGCGTTCACCCACATGAAAGAATAGTGGAACGCACCTCTTCACAGCTTAGACTTCGACACGTCTAAATGAAGGACTACACCGTCATTTCAACAAGGGTAATTACGTCCAAACAATAGCCTCATGCTCTCATTCTACATGATTAAACTGCACCCTCCCACACACAACACATATATCGTGTCGGTTTTGGCGCGTAACTGGACTCACGCCGTTCTCAAAATGGGCCCCACAATCCTCAAAACAATTATTATCACGTGTCCGTACTCCAACGAGTCCTAACAGAAATCCTGACGTAGCACACACCCATTAGCTTATCTTTTCAATCCTCTTACGTGGCAAACATCTACGGCAGAGCCTACCGATATTAACGCTTTCCATCAGCACCTGAATATTGGCCTCCCCATCACTAATGACGACGCCTTTATAAGCAAATTAACATCATCCAAAAGTCCTTAGTGAGCTCAGAAGCAGAAGAAGAAGGAAGAAGACGACGACACGCAAAAGCAGAAGAAACAGAGTGAAGCAAAAGTAAAAAGTAGGAGGAATTAATGGCGTAACGTGGCGTGTCGTCCTCGGCGCACGATAGCTTAGCTCGCTGATTTTTCATTCTTTGGAAGATTTGTGTTCCGCTTTTCTCAACAAAACGGCCAAGCAACACTTTACTCTTGTCTTACCATTAATATACACACATTTAAACAAAGTATATCAGGGAAATACAGAATCGGATAAAGCAATGAACTTTGAACTTGAAATGTAATGTTGTAAATCAAAGTGTTAAGAAAGGACGAGTCTTTTGCTTTTCTGGTTGGTTTGGAGGAGGCAATGAGGACGACGGAGTTGGTGATAGTTGTGGTTGTGTTGGCGGTCGGAGTTCTGGCTTCGACGTCGTTTTCGGCGAATGTGACGTACGATCACAGGGCGCTGTTGATTGATGGAAAGCGCAGGGTCTTGGTTTCTGGCTCCATTCACTACCCTCGCAGCACTCCCGAGGTCTCTCTCTCTCTCTCTCTCTCTCTCTCTGTGTTTGAAGGATGTTAATGGAAGTGCGTTTGTTTTTCTTTGGTTGCAGATGTGGCCAGACCTCATTCAGAAGTCGAAGGATGGAGGTCTGGATGTGATTGAGACCTATGTTTTCTGGAATTTTCACGAACCTAGTCGAGGCCAGGTCACTTTCCTCATCTTGCTTCTCCTTTTCTAAGTATATATACGTACAAATACACATATACGTATATATAAGAACATATGTTGCAGAATGATTTTCCAGCAACAAAGCAGATGACAGCTTTGTTTTGACTGGTTTCCGTACTGATTCTGCTGAGAAATTTCTTCAGTATGATTTCGAGGGACGCAAAGATTTGGTTAGATTCGTGAAGGCCGTCGCTGAAGCAGGTCTATATGTGCATCTTCGCATTGGTCCTTACGTTTGCGCTGAGTGGAACTATGGGTAAATTTTCATTTTTTTTCTCCTGTTATATCTTCTTCTTCTGCTTCTTTCTCCTTTTGAGTAATAATAAGGGAATAAGTTATGTTTTTTTTTTTTTTTGAACGGCAGTGGGTTCCCTCTCTGGTTGCATTTCATACCCGGAATCCAATTTCGAACCGACAATGAGCCTTTCAAGGTTTATGAAAGCGATATTTGCTTGTATTACTTTATAGTTTCTCTTTTTTTGGGTGTTTCTTCTGCTTTAATCCATCATGCAAAAACCCATCTGTTTCAGGCAGAAATGAAGAGATTCACGGCTAAGATTGTTGATATGATGAAGCAAGAGAAACTTTATGCGTCTCAGGGTGGACCTATCATCTTATCTCAGGTTGACCCTTTTCTTCTTTTTCCCCCGTTTTCCCTCAAGTCTAGTGTACTTTGTTCTATTTTTGTGTAAGTAATGTTGTGGGGTTTTTAAGATATTACAATAATGAGTTTCTGGCTTAATTGTACTTCATTGTGATAGATCGAAAATGAGTATGGGAATGTTGCTGGACCATATGGGTCTCCTGGGAAATCCTATGTTAAATGGTCAGCAGGCATGGCTTTGTCTTTGGATACAGGGGTGCCCTGGGTCATGTGCCAGCAAGGGGATGCTCCTGATCCCATTGTGAGCTTTTTCTTTACTCACTCTATGTAGAACTCTCAGCATGCTTGCTTCAATCTTCTATCCTTTAACATGTAACTGCTTACAGATCAACACTTGCAATGGATTTTACTGTGATCAATTCACCCCGAATTCGAACAATAAACCGAAGATGTGGACTGAGAATTGGACTGGATGGTGAGGTTCCTAGTAAATTCTTTTAATTATTGGTTGATTGGATGAGATCTTGATAAATTGAACTGGTTGATTGTATTATGCTTCATATTTTTACCCGGGTGTTCTTTTGTCTGAAATTTCTGAATGTAAATGGAATGCCAGGTTTCTTTCTTTTGGTGGTTCTTTGCCTTACAGACCCCCAGAAGATGTGGCATTTGCCGTTGCACGCTTTTACCAACGAGGTGGAACTTTCCAAAACTACTACATGGTATGGCAATTGTCAGTAGAGTACATGAGATTTTTAAAGTCAAAGGGAGTTTTTTCTTGTTTGAAAAGAGAGAATATATCCTCGATGTGGTATAGCAACGGGGAAAAAAAGAAAAAAAGACTACGAGTCTGCTGATGCCTCTAATTTGTTTTGATTCTGATAAACAGTATCATGGTGGGACAAATTTTGGCCGTACTACTGGTGGACCTTTTATTGCGACGAGTTATGACTATGATGCTCCGATAGACGAGTATGGTATGTCCTCTAGTGTTGTAAGCCTTCTCGGTAATTCTAGTAGATACAAGTTACAAGTAAGGCTGCCATCATCATATGTGACCCGGGGATGGTGGTGGTTCATTGAAAGCACTTAGGTTAATATGCTACCTTTCTTTTTACAAGAAATGCATTTTTTTCCCTGTGGTTACGTTCATTTTTTAGAATGCACCAGCTGTGTCTTTTCATATGTGAATGAATTTAAAGTGTTTCATGAACATTGCAGGGCTTATAAGACAACCTAAGTGGGGACATCTAAAAGATCTGCATAAGGTCATAAAGCAAGCTGAAGAAGCATTGGGGGCCACTGATCCAACAATTACTTCTCTTGGTTCAAACTTGGAGGTATATCCTTTCTTGTCGTTTGTTCATATTAGACAACATCCATTCTCTCGACAAGTTTTAGATGGTTTTACAACTTCTAAGAGCTGCGAGATTCTTCGACATTGTTGAATTTTTTTGTGCAGCTGCAAAAATGAGCTGAACATTTTTGTCAGTGTAATTGTATAATATTCAAATTTAATTAAAGAGGTCTAATAGCTTCTAGCCTCTAGCTGTAGACTTTTAAGTTGTAAATAGCAGCTTTGCTCTTTTGACAATTTTTTTCCCTCCAAATTTTCAGGCAGCTGTTTATAAAACTGAAACAAGATGTGTTGCCTTTCTTGCTAATGTGGGAACCAAGTCTGATGCCACTGTGACTTTTAACGGCAATTCATACAACTTGCCAGCATGGTCTGTGAGCATCCTACCTGACTGCAAGAATGTAGTTTATAACACTGCAAAGGTTTGATGTCACTTCACGATGGTTTTCTATTGCCAAGAATATTGAAAGTTCTCTTGCAAACAATAGTACCAATATCATCCGTTGTTTCTGCCAGATTAATTCTGCAGCCATGATTCCGAGTTTCGTACGTCAATCTTTGATAGATGATGTTGATGCCTCCAAATCCTTGGGCTCAGTATGGAGCTGGATAAATGAACCAGTGGGTATCTCGAAGGATAATGCATTTACCAAACCCGGATTATTGGAGCAAATAAATACTACAGCTGATAAAAGTGACTATTTATGGTACTCTTTAAGGTATACAAGTTTATGCTTTCCACATCTTCTTCCTGAAGATATATTATTGCCCCTCCATTGAGTAAACTTGTATCCTACAAGGATTTATAGACCTCTGTTGGTTTAAATTTGCAGTATTGATGTCAAAGGTGATGAGCCATTTCTTGATGGATCTCAAACTGATCTCCATGTGGAATCTCTAGGCCATGGCCTTCATGCTTTTATCAATGGCAAACTTGCAGGTATGAGGAGGAAATAACTTTTGTTCTGGTGATTTGATTTTTTGAATTTTGGCAAATCAAGAATATCACAGAAAACTTCGTTGTTTAATTGTAAGGATTTTAACTGTTAAATTGATACCTTGCATCTATTTAAATGAAACCTTTCCAGGAAGTGGAAAAGGTAGGAATGGCAATTCCAAAGTTTCATTGGAGATCCCCGTCACTCTTGTCTCTGGGAAAAACACAATTGATCTTCTTAGTTTGACTGTTGGACTTCAGGTATTGCCTTCTTATAGTACTAAAGGAGGCAAATCATTCTTTATACCATATCCTAACATTGTTGTTTGCTTGAAAGACGCCATTTGTTGAATGAACAAGTTTCCTTATTTAAAGATTGTTATATTTTGTATGGATGTTCTAATACAACGTTCTATTTTGTATATATTAACATCAGAACTATGGATCTTTTTTCGACAAAGTGGGTGCGGGAATCACTGGTCCAGTGAAGCTAAAAAGTGCAAAGGGTGGTGCTACCCTTGATCTCTCGTCTCAACGGTGGACATATCAGGTAAGTCTTCTTTGTTTCTTTGCAATGTTCTACATGGTTTGTAGATAAGACAGAATGTGTAAATCAGTAATTGAAGTTATTTGAAAGGATTCCAAGGCATGTGAAATAGAGAAACAAAGTCTTGCACACCATTCTTATCAATATCCAGAGAATACCTTCAAAAAGACTCAGCAACTATATCATCTTTTGTCTTAATGATGCAGATTGGACTTAAAGGTGAAGAGTTAGATCTGCCTATTGGTGACTCTTCACAATGGAATTCACAGTCTACTTTGCCCAAAAACAAACCTTTAACATGGTACAAGGTAAACCCATTTGGCCATTTTAAGAATAACTTACTTAGATCTAACAGCTAAATCTTGTCCTTGAATGTAAGAGTTAGTTGCTGTCATATGTGATATAGTCATACTAATGTTAAACCCCTTTCATGGAAGTGGATTGTGATGGTTCTAGCAATAACAGCTATTTGATTATGCCTAAGACCTCTTGGTCTAGTGGCACTTGGGGGTTCGGTTGGGGAGGGATTTTGGGTGAGGTTGCGGGTTCAATCCTGTCTTTTGTGTGTGTGTGTGTGTGTGGGTTCTAGCATTAACAGCTATTGGATTATGCCTAAGACCTCTTGGTCTAGTGGCACTTGGGGGTTCGGTTGGGGAGGGATTTGGGGGGAGGTTGCGGGTTCAATCCCGTCTTGTGTGTGTGTGTGAAACACAGCTGTTGGATTATTACGTGTAGACCTTTTATAGGGACTGATGCAAAAGCAATTCTTGTTGCTTCAGACAAGCTTTGATGCCCCTGGTGGAAGTAGCCCCGTTGCACTAGACTTAACAGGAATGGGGAAGGGTGAGGCATGGGTGAATGGACAAAGCATTGGGCGTTATTGGCCAACATATATTGCTCCAAATAGTGGTTGCAATGATAATTGCAACTACAGAGGAGCTTTCGATGCAGACAAATGCCACAAAAATTGTGGGAAGCCGTCTCAGGAACTGTAAGTGCTGAAGAACCTACATATAAAGAAGTTACAAAAGTTTCTTCCTAAATTTTAGTTTCTGATATCCATGTGATTACCACAGGTACCATGTTCCCCGATCATGGTTGCGACCAAGTGGAAACACTCTTGTATTATTCGAGGAAATCGGGGGTGATCCAATGCAATTATCTTTTGCCACGAGAGAGATTGAGAGTTTGTGCTCACACATTTCGGAATCTCACCCACCACCTGTAGATATGTGGAGCTCAGAATCAAAATCAAGAAGGCAATTAACGCCTGTACTGTCACTCGAGTGCCCATCTCCTAATCAGGTCATTTCTTCAATCAAGTTTGCGAGTTTTGGAACACCACACGGGTCCTGTGGGAGCTTTAACCATGGCAAATGCAGCAGCGCTAGAGCTCTATCAGTTGTACAGAAGGTATGATGTGTACTATTCAGATAACAGTTTTCTTACCTCTTAATGTGCTATCCATGGAATTGCTTTATGCTAACAACTGTGACCTTGTGCAGACTTGCATTGGATCAAAAAGTTGTAACATTGGAGTTTCAATAAACACCTTTGGTGACCCGTGCAAAGGGGTAACGAAGAGTTTAGCAGTAGAAGCTTCCTGTACATGAGAAGTCGTTGCTCTATGGGGAATAATTGCTACTTAATTATTTGCACGATTGAATAAGTTCATTCTCATGTTGTCACAGTGGATGCTTACCTGAAAATGAAAGGTATCGAACCACTGTAATCTTGGCAAAAAAGAAATAATAGCTCTTCAATCAATTTACAACAATTATGTTGCGTCTTTTTCTTGAGGAGAAATGAAAGTTTTCCAGGTTTTTTTTTTAATATGTAGGTTTTCTTTATAATGTCATTTGATCTATTTTAAGTATATATGACCAATTAGAAAAAGGCTACTCATTTGTCACATCAATTGGCACGAAAAGTCAGTAAATTATGGGGGGAAGATAGCATCATTAAGCCATTAAGAAAATGATTCAGAAATGGTTATATTGTGTCATTATTTCAGCCTTTACAAGTTTTGATGAAGAGTGAAGAGATCATTAGGAATGTGGCAGGGGTACTCTCAGAGCAACCATCCCTGCTTCACTTTCTTGGCGCGTCCATCTCTATCATCAATTTGACAATGCGCAGCCAACGACTAAAGTGATTTAAAATAAGCAACTAATTCTCAGGAACACCATTTATTCAGTAGCAATAGAACCAATTATATAGGTTTATAAAAATAATGAATACATGGGCAATTTTATAGCCCTTTATTTTTGTGCTATGCAACTCTGAATACCAAATATCAGATTCTGATGGTTGAAAACAAAGAACAAAGTGTTTATTTGCTTTATGGTGTCCATCATCAGTATTGAGCAACTCCACCATTGGTAGCAGACCCAGATGGCCTTTGGAACCTGCAGGCATTGCAGATCGGAGAATAGAGAGATGGGGTTTGGTACTTGTCCTCCCCACCCATCATTGGCATGGGAACTCCAATCTTGACAGGGCTCACATACCCTGGCCTGTAAGTCTTTCCCAAAACTCCTTCAACAAGATCAGACAGATTGTTGAACCTGAACTGTGTCTCCAAATGAGCAAAAGTGTCATCAGATGGTATTTGGTAGTTGTGAACCCTGTTTTCCTGTTCCCCAATAGGCCTCACTTTTATGTCCATCTCCACTAGGCCACCCACTGTCACTCTAACGCAGTTGAAATCATCTGTTCTTTCCACCACCACTTGTCGCTCCTCGCAATAAGCCCTCCATTCAGCCTCTCCATCAGTAGGAACGTTCACTGATTCCCCATCCCACTTCACCATCAGAGCGTCGACACGGTCGTCCCAGCGTGAGACTCTCTTTGCGGAGATAACAAGAGTGTGTGTGTCGAACATGACAGAAAGCGCCTGAACCCATGTGAAGTCCCGGGTCCGTCCTTGTGGTCTTAAACCAATAAAGTGTGCATTTATTTGGAGGTTCTCATCTGAAACAATAGCGAAATCTCCTCCTTTAGCTCCATGGAAGTAGAACATCACACCGTCACCGCCAACAAAGCGTGGATCGTAGCAGAGAGAGCCATATCCATTGCAGTTTGGTTTTCTATCTGCCAAATAGAACAAACAAAAAGCTTAAAATGAGGACGCATATGATGTTACACTACTAACATTATTGAGCAAAATGCAATGTGAAACTAAGATTTCCCTTTGCAAAATATTTATTTAATTTAGAGATGAAAGGAAAGAAAAGGAGAGGCTTACACTTGCAAGTGACTTCACACTTGCTGTTACAGTCAACGTAACAACCTTTCTTCTTCTTGTTGTTCTTAGGCTTTCTATGAGGGCATTCTGCAGGGCATGTAAGTGTCTTGGACTTACATTTTCCGCTTTTCTTGCACTTCGCTCGTTCTTGTCCAGATGCCGAACTCTCCAACATCTTATAGTCGGTTGAAGCATCCTTATTCTTGTCCTTGCCCTTGCCCTTGTCCTTGCCCTTGTCCTTGCCCTTGTCCTTGTCCTTGCCCTTGTCTCCATCCTTGTTGCCTTTGTTATTCCCACCGTTACCTTTGTTGTTTCCATTGTCGTTTCCTTTCTTACCGCCATCGCCCTTTCCATTGTCGTCGGCTTGAACAAAGATAGCCATTTGCATGGCAAGCAACACAAAAAGGAAAGCCACTAAGACATAGGACTTTCTTCTAGCCATCTTTTTTGCTGTACGGCAATTTCCTCTTCTCCTTGTGTATGTATTCAATGCTTTCTAAGAATGATGGGATGGAAAATGCCGGAACAGAAGAAGCGTATATATATAATAAGGAAGCTTTAAGAGGGACGTTCTAGCTACTGGCCTACTAGGCCCTGGCGTTCGGCTCAAGTCTTGTGCATGAATGAATTGCTTCTTGTATACAAAAACAGCTTTGAAACAACTTTTCTGAGGGGCAAATGGTTTTGACCAAATCCTTATACTTGTATATATAATGACAGTTTCACACTGAAAAAGAAGAAAGGAAAAAAAAAAAAAAAAAAACTATATAGAAAAATATTTCTGCTTTTGGAAGGATCAAAGGCTTGTGGTAGCTTTGCCTTGCCGTGGATATAATTGTGATTTGTTAGCACAAGTTGTAGCATCTTTTACAATAATTTTGCGTATATCGTTGAATAAGCTTTCAAATTTATTGCTTCGGAATAAAAATTGATTTGTGATTTCAATATCACGTCAACAACTGCTTACAAATGCCTCAAAGGTCTTGCAGTCGGCAACTCTAACTAAAGGCTTTTGCATAATTAACCTCGAGCATATATTACCAAAAATGGATGACATTGCTAACATTTTAAGGACTCCAATACTTTAAAAATGACACCTTAATGTTTACAAATCAAATTATGCATGTTACTTACTAAACTTTTCTCCAACGAGTCATTAACTAAAAATACGTAAGTTTTACATAGGCCCAGTATTCAAAAATCTTTAAAAATGACACCTTAATGTTTACAAATCAAATTATGCATGTTACTTATTAAACTTTTCTCCGCTTATACGAGTCATTAACTAAAAATACGTAAGTTTTACATAGGCCCAGTATTCAAAAATGAAGACATTTGCTATTTGTAGAGATATAAGGAAGATTTTTATATTAGTTGAAGCCTTTTGCTAAATTTTCCAATGATTTTCAAGGCCTAATTTCCTTACACTGCCATATAGTCCAAGCGAAAATAAAACAAAAAATGAATTTAGCATTTATTTATTATGATATGAAGCAAAAGCTCACTTCAAAATATGGATCATGAAGGGCACGTGAAGAAGAAGGCCATGGTAGACACAAACCTTAGTAGCTAACCTACTCGCTTACGTTTAGATTACTCGAAGTTCATGTGAATCAAGACCCTTTATTTTCTGTTAAGGATTAAAATTACCTTATTATCATGCAAGATCTCGCTTCTAATTTCTAGGCTTGGCCTGCAATTAGTCAGCTCATTGCTTAGTTCCTAATCTTGAGGTTTTATATATTTAATAGTACACTCACACGCGCATATTTTATAATCCCTTAAATACTAAAGGCAAGTTTAACTCTCAAGTCTCTAGTAAATAATATGAAATGCTAATTATATAGTGACTAAATAATAATAAAGTCGCTATATAATTATAAAGTATTCATAAAAAAAAAAATAATAATAATAATAATAAAAGTCAACTACAGAATACGGACGCCCTTTGCAATTCGCAATATGGCATCCTCCTGAAACGTGGAAGTCGCAGGATCTCATTCTCCAATGAGAGTATGGCTTAATGTCACATGCCATTCTCCCCACACGGAATATATGATTTTCTGCTGCTAACAATCCCTGCATCACGATTGGTGTTCTAAGTAGTAAGATTAGTGACGAGCCAGTAACAAATTATCTTAGTTTGAACATATAAGAAAATATATTTATTTAGGGGTATATAATATTTTAGTGGAAGTTTAAATATAAAATTTTAAAATTTTTAAACGTAATATTTTTTTCAAATAAATTTGAGTGGGAACGGTAGCCCCCCACTGAATTGTACTTAAATTCGCCACTGAGTAGGACCACTAGATATGCCATGTTTAATACATATGAAGGGGAGGGATAATATTGTTGTTGATGCTCTATGATTACTTCTTTTCTTTTCTTCTGTTTTTTTTTTTTTTTTTTTCTAGACGAGAAAAATTATGATCATTAGTGGTAACTATCACTAACCAATTTCACGAATTCTCCCTAAAATTATGTCACAAAAATGTGAGTCTCATCGATCACACAAGCAAGCAACAAATCGAACTCCACACCAACAACACAGTTTTTCTTTTCCTGCCCTAATTCCATCTGTTTTGTTAGCGTTTAAAAGGATTTGACTATTTTGCCCTCATCATGTGCATATCACGTGCTCTTCCCTTAAAAAATAGACAAGAGTTTAACAGACGGGTGAAATTAAGGATGTTTCATAGATCAGGAGCACAACATATACATTTCAAAAATTATGCCAACACGTCCTTAATTTTTGAAATTTATCCTGACTAATAACAATACCGTAAGGTGAGAGAGAAGAATAAGTATGTACACAATTAGAGATGTTAAGGGCTCGAGACAAATAAATAAATAAAATAAAAACAAAAACAAAAACAAATTAGATTTATAAAATTTGTTACGTTGACCACATACGAATGAAGGTATTGGGCATCACCACAGCAAAAAACAAAGTATGAGCTTCAAAAGAGGAGATCCACAGACGAGCCTGCAGTTTTCTCTATGTTTTATGCCTAATAACATTTCTCATTTTGCGTCATCAACTTCAATGATGTTATATTCATAGTTTTCAGTCATCTTCAATGATTGTCATTTGGTCCTTTGATTTTTGTATAATGAGATTAATTTTAATAAGTTATAAATACCATACTTAAGGAAAATAACGTATTTTAATTATGTAAGCTCTGTTGAATAATATACGACTTGTCATATCATTAAAGATTAAAAGTCAATGTTAGCAATCCAGATGCTAAGTCCAAATATTATCATTTCTAAATCCGTATCTGGTGAACAACAAATTTATTAGTACGTCTTTTATCTTTGTTGGATCTTGATGTTCCTTCCTTGATGAAAGTACCTGCCATTAAGAAAGTCATTGAAGCTAGCCCTTTATCATCATTAAATATTTGTCAATGCACTAAATCTGTAACAAAAGAGAGAAAAAAAAAAAAAAAAAAAAAAAAAAAAAAAAAAAAAAAAAAAAAAAAAAAAAAAAAAGATAACCCTGAAAATCTGACTCATTTTCAGATTAGCCATTAGTGGAACAATGAACTCTTGCATTATATATACTTCGCTTAAACAGAGATTTCAAAGAACTAATAAAAAGAAGTAACATCCTTTAAACTATATATTAATTCACCATCCAAAATACAAAACCAATCATCATCCTTTCAACCGAACCAACGTACTTGAATTATTAGGACCTTAAACAATTATCATATGGGAGAGGCAAGGGGATAAAAAATACAAGAAAACAAATCTAACAAGGAAAAATTACTTTAATGCTTCAATGGTTACTGCCACTATTGAAATACAGGAAGGTCTATCCTCGGTTGGTTTAGATTTGAATCTGCTCCAACTGCAACCACACTACTCGAGGACCCTTCTCCGACCTCACCGATCATCTTCAAGAAGTAACTGTGCCTGCACAACAAATTGTTAGAACATTCATGTGAACTTGTGCGAATGCATAGTTAACAGAAAAAAGACACGGTACCATCGAGTATCTGCTGTTAGTTCCGGATGGAAAGCAGTCCCCAGCAAGTTCCCTTGTCTTACGGCTATAATCACTCTGTCTTCCGACCCGGTCTTCCCCTGATATCAGAAATTGTTGATGTAAACACCATGAGAAGAAGATAACTAATTGTAAATCTTTTACAATCAACACACCAGCATAATGTGTTTTGGTTACTGATTTCAGCTAATGAAATGCAAATTAGATACATTTTATTCTTTTTTTTTTATTTTTTCCTTCCTTCCCTCTAGATAGAGCAAACAAGTCTGTTAGTCATTCAAAGAACCCAAAGAAGCAATATATGTGCAAGAACTTGTTATGAAACAGCATACAGAATAATCTAAGAAAAATAACTGAGCCCGTAATTAGACTCTTAAGACATCTAAAATACTAGAGAACTAGAGATGAACTTGCCATTTCAAAACCGAGCACGTTCAATATGAGCAAAGCAATTTGACTCACATTACTGACAGCTTTGATGATTATTTAGCATTAGTTCCAGGACATTTTCTGGGATACCAGAGGCAAATCAAATTTGTGTTTTTGAATATAGTCAACTAAATGTAGTGATAAAAGCATGTGGTGTACCTCTTGGTCTTCAACTGCAGAATTTGCATCCAAATCCTTGTTAGAGCGAGCAGGATAGTCAGCCAGCACCTGAACTTCTGGCCCTACTTCAAGGATGGCGGGGGCACGGATGAAAACACCGCGAAATGTTTCAGGACCACCTACCTTAGAAGAAAGCTCCGGTGCCGGGATCTCAGCCTCAAAGCTCTGGATCTGAATTTTTGTATTGGTTAAAACGAATACAAGTGAGTACAACATATCAAGTGTGAATGTTAGCATAGAACAAACTCAATGTTACTAGAGTGGTTCACGAAACAAAACGGTTAGTAAACTTTTCCATTTTCTGATCTTTCACTAAAACCATAAAGATGTAAATCCCAAACTCTGTCTAATGAAGTACATGCATTTTCACATAATTTTTACATTTGTAAAGTTTCTATACAACTAAGTAACAAACTTAAGCTCGCTAAGTAAACGAGGAATAATCACTACATTTTCCGGAATCTATAGGACTCCAACAGATTTAAAAATAAATAAATAAATAAATCTCGTGTTTTTATGTTTGTACACAGAACTCAGAATATGACACAAATGTGACAAATTAAGACAATAGAAGCCATTGTTTAAAAGAAAAGGATTTAGGAAAATATTGACAGAAAAGAAATACCAGACCAATGAATAACATGATACGAGAGTTATATTTGGAACACTCCAAACATCCCCCATAAAACTATTCTAGCACCTTATTTGGTCTATATACTAGCACCTTACTCTGCCAACTAACATTTATAGTAATTGTATAGACACAGATTGGAAATCATGCAGTTCAGTTTGTTGTTAGTGTTACCTGACTGCCAAAGAAATTTCTGTGCACTGTGCAATCTAGGCCTCCAACCAGTTCCTGTCCTCCAGTTTTTTGCCCTGAAAATATACGCAGCTCGTTTCTGATTCAGAACAATCCCCAGATGCATATGTATTTACGCGACAAAGAAAGATCAACTACAGAGTGTGCGGGCCCTCGTGTGTAATTATACAGCGAGGATGGGTAATAGCTGATAGGAAACAAGTAAAAAGCCAACCTGTAGCATTATTGGCCAAGAAGATAAGCCCTGCACAAGTCCCCCAAACAGGTTTCCCCATTTTAACAAAGTCGCGCAAAGCGGGAAACTGTTCACAAATTGTAGTAAGAAAAGTATGAATTTGATTGCGAACATGATGTGGGAATTGAAAATGTGAACACAAATGACAAACTTCATTTGAAAGCGCCAAAACCATGAAAGCTATGTATTACAAAAACGTTGAATTTGGAAAATTGTGGCATACCTTTCCATTGATAATAATGAGCATATATACACAATACTGGATTTAGAAACTTGAGCAAATTTCCCAATCTTAATGAACCAAAGTTTAATTTAGTTCCCTAATCTCCTAAGCCATGAAATGAATCAAAATTCAAACTTTACAAAATAGATAATTACAAAACTAAACAAAAGAAAAGTGTTATATTTCCCTAAAATGTTTAGCCCTCAGTATTTCATTCATTGGGGAATCTTAGGCAACAATTCAACCTAGAAGCAAAAGATTTAGCAAAGTTATACATTCTAATCCACCAATTCTCAAACGAAACCAGCACCACTCACAGGATTGTCCCTATATAAACTGACTAAACGAAAAAAAAAAACATTTAATCAATTACATGATTAGCAAAAAGAAAATCTTTATTTCTTATAATCAGCATAAAATTGTCGCATTAAGAGCAGCTCCTTCCCACATAAAATATGCCAGACAAAATTGCGAAAAAAAAAGAAAAAAGACGAAAGACGAAAGAAGAAAGTTAAGGAATTTTTCATAAACAAGCTACTAAGTTCTAACCAATAGAGAAAAGAGATAAAAAAAAAGGAAGAAAAGCAAAAGAGGAGAGAGAGGAAAAGAGACCAGGTTGTGGTACTCAGCGAGCTTAGCCATGGTGGTGCTCTCTCCTCCAGGAATGATAAGCGAAGCCACGTTGTGAAGCTGCTCTGGCTTCCTTATCTCCACTCCCTTAACCCCTAGCCTCCTCAGCGCTGCCCAATAACACAAAACCCACATATTATAAATATATATATATATATGTGTGTGTGTGTGTGTGTATACATAATATATATATATATATACATATATATATATATGTTTGTACACGCAAAAAAAGAAGGACGAACTCACCGGCGATGTGTTCGTTGAAAGACCCCTGTAAAGCGAGAACGCCGACGAGGGCCATCTTCTTCTCTCCACAGACAGATACGAAGACGAAGAGAGGAAGAGTAAGGATTAAGGAAGATGATCGAAGGAGAGAGAGTAGTTAGTCGTAATATGACGGCCCACTCAGGCCTCTCGTTTTCCTATGGCGCTCAGTCCTGCCTCCTCTGCGCCAACTCTTAACCTATTACGATTCTTATGTACTCATATTGCATTTCTCTTTGTTTTCTTTTCTTTTTCTTTTTCTCTTTCTTTTTGGTACAATTTCTTTTTCCATTTTATATAATATGTATTTTTAAATTTATATTGTATAACAATTTTGATAAGTGCAAATTAATTTGATAGTAATTTTTTTAGATGATTTTAAATAATAAAATTGCCATAAACTTTCCGGTGGTTAAAAAAATTATATATGATTATTGGTTTTTTTTAAGGTCCAAAAGAAAAAGGCGTGCAAGGACTAACCGGTGGCGGCGGCCACACAATTACTTTATGAACGTGCAGCCTTTCGTCTTATTTAATAAGAAAGATCATAATAAAAAATAGAGTGTTTTTCTAATACTAAGTCTTATTGAGAGTTTTTATTTTTACTGTTAAATTTAATTTAAATTAAAATAAATTAAAAAAATATGTAAAATAAATAAATTTTAATATAAATTTAACGATTAAAAAATAAAAAATTATTTTTAAAATATTTTTATAGGGAATACTGTAGAAACACCTTAAAAATAAAAATAAAAACAAAGTGTCCTTTTTGGACACTTTTGATGTTTTTTTAGTCAGAAGACGACCTTTACCATTGGCTTTGTTAGTTTGTTTCATCACAAAACAATCTGTACGTGTACTTCCTTTACATTCTGTGCGTGTTCAACATTTTGGTACGGACGATTACAGAATACGTTCTCGTTCACTTTGTGGATTAGTTAGATGTGACATTTTCTGGTTTGAAGATCAACACTAATTGGTGGATTAGAATGTATAGCAAAGTTACCATTTTCTGGTTTTCTGAATCAGTAAAGTTTTCAATTCGAGTTAAAATGTGACATTTTCTGAGAGCTTTTCCCTGTAACAAAAAAAGTTAGATGTGACATTTTCTGAGAGTTTTTTACTATATAAAACTAAAACTGAAAACTCGAATTGATGAAATGAACGAGGCCTAATTGATGAAACTCACGAGGCAAAATCTAATACTGTTGATTATATGCAAACTGGCCTCGTTCATTTCACCGATTCGAGTTTTCAGTTTTAAGTTCCTACAGTAAAAATCTCTCAAAAAATGTCACATCTAACTTTTTCTACTATAGTAAAAAACTCTCATAAAATGTCACATCTCAACTCGAATTGAAAATTTGAATCACAAAGTGAACGAGACCTTAATTAATTGTGGTTCTCATTAAAATTGAGCAGAACCACTACTCGTGGTGTATATTGCCCTTGAATAGGACAAAGTACAACTTTGTTAATAACAGCAAAGTGCAGAGCTTTATTTCATTTTGATCTTTCTCTTTTTAATATTAAGCATTATGAAATCTAGCTTTCTTTAAAATAGAATTATTTGAACGTAATAAGATAGCCAAAAACTCCTAGATCAATAAGTCAGAGTTGGTCAGCTGGAAAATAAGAATGGAATGAATTGCAAAGAAATAAATTTATACACCAAAAATGGATTAAATCTTTAGCCAAAAAAAAAAAAAAAAAAAAGGAAAAGGATTAACTTGAATTTGAAAGCTTGCCATCAATGACTCAAACATTGCATAATAGCATTCCCTCCATAGCCTGAAGCTCAAGTCTTGACATTTAGCAAAAACAAAAATAAAAATAAAAAAGTTCATGGTTTGAAGATCAACATTAATCTTTCTTGTATTCTTTTTCCCTTTCGGAAGGACAGGGCATTCTGATCTCCCACTTCATCTGGTCTATTTCCATTACTAATATTGTCATAATAAGCAGAAGCCACATTGTTTCTTTTATGATACAGATAGATTGCAACATGTTCTTAAGCTTAGGGGACCACTATCTAGAGTAGTTGGTAATGATATAAATAAATCCTCAAAAAGATCAAAATGGTCAATTATAATGCGTTTCAAAATTGCATGATTTGGACAGTTTGAGATATCTTGGTGATCAACAATAATGTTTCATTGATTAGTTTGTTCTGTCAAACTTTAATAAGAGCAAGCGGTGTGTATAAACCAGCTATGAGTTTAACCATAAACGTTGTACTTCAATTTATGGTTGTTTCTAAGAAAGCTACTGATTTTCCATGAACGGTTGCGATCCTCATACAACTATTACTAATTTTGTTAAGTTAAACTGCTAAGAAATGGATCCAAAAAAAGAAAAACACCTAGAGAGAGAGAGAGAGAGAGAGAGAGAGAGAGAGAGAGAGAGAGAGAGAGACTTTGAGAGAAGAAAAGATTGAAGGAAAACATTAGAGGAAAGAAGAAAGAGCTTCTGAAGTTGAAAATGGCGTCTCCCCATTTCTTCAAGATTGTTCTCGAGGAAACTCTCAGAGGAAAAAAGCTTGTAAGTATTATAAACTCATCTTTGTATTTCTCTGTTGTATTTTGATTTGTTCCACCTCAGCTTGATCAAGTTATATTTTCCCCCTTTTTTTTTCTTCTTCTATCATTGTGGTCCATGAGTTTGGATCTTTTTAATGAAGACCACAGAATAATTAAGACGTGTATTTTAATTTTGTGTTGAAGGATTTTTGTATATGCACTGCAAACAACTAGTCATTTTACTGTTTTGTGGTTGAAATTTTTTTTTTTTTTTTAATACCTCCTCAAATAAGGCTCATATTATTAAAGAACAAAAAAGAGTAACAAAACTATAACCATCTCAAAATCAAGTAAATTTGTAACATGGTAAACCTATGTAATTTCTATACACATGAGAAAAATGAAAATCCATTCTCATGGATAAAGAAAGAGCAATGCTCTACTTATTACGCAACCTGCAAGAAACCTGGAAAGACTAAAATTAAAGGACTAAAATTTATTGACTAAGGCCTCGTTCATTTTACCGATTTGAGTTTTCAGTTTTAGGTTTCTACAGTAAAAAGTTCTCAGAAAATATCACATCTAACTTTTTCTGCTACAGTGAAAAGTTATAAAAAAATGTCACATCTGAACTCGAATTAAAAACTTGAATCCGCGAAGTGAACGATGTGTAAAGGACTAAAATTGACTCTTACCATTACAAGAGAACTTTACGGTGAAAGATCAACATAATCCAATTCCAAAGACAAAGCAAGTAAGGACATTCCAAGAAAAGATGAATAATAGATTCCTCAACCCTCCGACACAACTACAAGTTGAATACCAAAAGTCCTGAGACTAACATTCACGGGAAGTTTTTCATATAACAATTTTCAAACAAGAAAAGAGAAACGAGGAGGAATAAAAGGTGCCTAAATTTTGCAACTCCAACTAGTAGGAGTGCCTCTAGCACGAGAAACTTCATATATATTCTTAGCAGAACAACCCCGGACCTAGAAGGACTCCAAATCAGATTATCCTCTAAATCCAAGGGAATAACAACCTTATCAATCAAACTCTAAGCAACCTTAAAGAAATCTAGTATATTCCATTTACCATCCACTACAAAATCACTGACCAAAACCTTAAAAGAAGATTTGAGATGTTCAGGAATTCTAATAGCTTCAGCTAACACAACACCTCACCAATTATCAAACCAAAAAGAAAGCGTAGATCTGCTACCAATGAGCCACAGAGAATCAAGAATAAGAGAACCGACCAAACTCTTTAAACCTGGCCAAATGGAAGACATACAATAGGACAATTTTGGCTCCAATCGGTTCCGAAAATGTCTACTTCTGAAAAAAGCATAACCATCCCCATCTTCCTGAATCAAATTGCAAACAAGCTTTTTAAGAAGGGACAAATTATACATCCTCGAATTCCTAACCCCCAAACCACCCTCCTCATAAGGAAAACAAATATTTTTCCAAGCCACATAAACAAGTTTTCTTTTATCCACATCACCGATCCATATGAAATTCCTCATACTCCTTTTCAACATAGCTATAAAGAGAAGACGGCCATTTATAAATCGAAAAAGAATGAACAAGCATACTAGAAATTGAACTCCTCACAAGAAGCAAAAGAAAGAAGTTTTCCTTTCCAAGAAGAAAGCTTAGCTACCACCTTATCAACGATAGGTCTCAAATGAGAATTCCTTGGCATACCTCGAAAAATAGGCACTCCAAGATAGGAATCAGCTCGAGCCTCCAAATCTTTACCAAAAAAACAGCAAAGACTTGTCCTTGCTAATTAGTTGACCAGAAGCCACACCATACTCTTCAAAAAGATCCAAAATAGCCTTTTGAAGATCTTCTATTACCATTAGAAAAAAAATAAAAATGTCATCTGCATAAAAAAAATATGAGAAGGAGCAAAACCACTGCGAGGAGATGAAATTGGAGAAATAATGCCACTCTCTTGATTTTTTTCTCTTGATTTTCTTTATATCTGCGTTTTATCTTGTGGGATTTGGCTTCTGCGATGGAAGTTTTTTTATGCCAACATGGTGAAATCGGATTGGGGTTCTTCTCTGGTTAGTGATGTTATTCCGGTGGTGAAGGTGGATTTTGTTTCCGTCAAGGTGGAGAGGCCTTGGGATAAGATTGGTGATGATGGTTGGGAACCTGTAATTGGGAAAAAAAAAAAAAAAACTCTAAGAAAAGGGGTGGTTCCGTGGGTAAGAAAATGGAGGATGGCAAACCTTACCAAACTAGGGGTAAGGTGGTCAAAGTCTACAAATAAAGATGAATGTTCTTTATTGGATGGCAAACCCGACAATTGATTTGGAATTTTTGTGACAAAAATAGACCTCTGCCGCTTTGTATAAGTGAGCCTATGATTAAGATTTCAGAACATTTCTGATCGGTTTTGGGAGTCATGTGGTTTGTCTTTTGTGGCTGTGAATGATAGGGACCGTGCCATTCCTTCTATTTGGATTTTTAGGCGAATTGACAGTCCTATATGTTCTGTTGTTGTTTCAGTTCAGTAGAGTCGCTTGGTTGTCTTTGGACTTTTGTATATGCTTCTACCTCAGTTTCTTTGAGGAGATCTCTTTTGACTGAGCTTCGTGGGTTGGCTAACTCTTTTATTCGAAGTTAGGTGGTCCTCTCCCTAGGAAAGTTTCATGTGATGATTTTAAGCAGGTCTCAGATGATTGTGGGTTGATTCATTTACCTACTAATGGTGCTAAGTATACTTGTAGCAATGGTAGAGGTGTTAGGAAATATGTTGAGTTGAGATTGGATAGAGTTTTTTGTAATTCAAATTGGCTTGGTAAGTGGGCTGTTTCACAATGTTCTTGTATTCCTCGTTTTTTTTTTCTGACCATAATCCCCTCGTATTTGTGTTTGGGGATAATGCGGTTAGTGGTTCGAGGGCTTTTCGTTTTCGGCCTATGTGAACTTCTCATAAGGACTTTCGGGATTTGGTGATAAAAGTCTGGAATTCCAATGTTTTTTATGGCTGTTCTCAGTTCAATTTCTCTCAAAAGCTAAAGCTTTTAAAGGCCGAGCTTAAAAGGTGGAATAAAGAGACTTTTGGTGATGTTAGTAAAATGGCTGAGGCATCTAAGGAAAAGTTGGGGAAAATTCAAGAAAAAATATCTCTAGAAGGTTTTTCAGAGTTGCTCCATCAGGAAGAATTGTCCATTCAAGAGGAGTTGAATGTGGCTCTTAGTCTTGAGGAAAAGTTAGCAAAAGATGGGTCTCGTATTAAGTGGCTGCGAGAGGGAGACAGAAATACGAAGTTCCTTCATACGATGGCTAAAATAAAAGGGGTTAAAGCTTTTATTGCTCACGTGTTGATTGATGGCGAGGTAATTTTCGATTCAGAGAGTGTGAAAACTCAGGCCCCGTTCATTTTATCGTCTCGAGTTTAAAATTCAAGTTTTGTTACAGTAAAAAGCTCTCATAAATAATCACATCTAATTTTTTTGCTACAGTAAAAAGCTCTCACACAAAATCACATCTCAACTCGAATTACAAACTCGAAGCAACGAAGTGAACGGGCCTCACATTGTCGAATATTATAGACAACTTTTTTCAGATTCTAGTGATACAAGGAATCTAGATTTGGTTCAAAAGGTTATTCCGAGGCTGGTCACTACGGCGGATAATGAGATTCTTTGTAAGCTTTCAGATGTGGAGGAGATTAAGGGGATGTTTGGTACCTAGATTCGTTCTCTGATTCGAATCATGATTCGTGGTTCGCTACAGTATTTTCTCTCACAAAAAATACACGTAAATCGAAAATGATTCTAATCACATGGTTCTAATTCATGAACCAAACGTTTCCTAAATGTGCAGTTTTTGGTTTAGATGGTGCTAGCTCCCCTGGTCCTGATGGTTTTGCTGGCTCTTTTTATCATCACTGCTGGGATATTAGTAATGATGATTTGGTGGATGCTGTTCAACCATTTCTTTCTATGGGTTTTATCCTTTTCTAATCTCAACTCGGTTGTTTTTTTTGTTTTATTACCTAAATCGGCTTATGCTAATTCAGTCGATAAGTATAGACCTATTGCTCTCTCCAATTTCATTTTCAAGATTTTTACTAAGATCCTTGCAACAAGGCTTGGTCCTATTGCTCAGAATTATTTCTAAAAATCAATTTGCTTTTATTAAGGGGAGACAAATATCTCAAGCTATTATTTTTGTCTCGGGGAATTTTAATTGTATGGATAAAAAGGTTTTTTTTGTGGTAATGTTGCTCTTAAAGTTGATACTAAGAAGGCTTTTGACACTTTGAGATGGGATTTTCCTTTGGAGGTTCTGAAAGTTTTTGGGCTTTCTCTGGAGTTTGTTGGTTGGATTGAGAACACTTTGCACGCTTGTAGGATTTCTATTTTGTTTAATGGCAGTCCAGCTGGGTTTTTTTAGTTGTGGCCGTGGGGTGAGGCAGGGAGATCCTTTGTCTCCCCTTTTTTTTGCATCGCTGAAGAGGTTCTTTCTTGTGGTTTAAAACCAACCAGTCCAAAATTACTGGATCTGACAAGGACAAATTTGCTTTCATGTCGTTTTTTAATATAATCTGCCCTCCCAAAGATCTTGATGTGTAAAGCCTAAGTTAGACTAAAAGGGAGTCGTTAAAGATTCTTCTATTTCACCTAATATAAAATCTACTCCAAAGACCCTTGGAGAAAAAAGCAAAAAAAAAATTGTAATGCTCTGACTTTAGAACAATCAAGAGCTAAAAAGTTGAGAAACAAGTTGAAATAGTTGTTGAGAACATGAGTAGTAAGATGAAAAGTGAAGGTTTTGATGTTCAAGCTCCTAAGGGGGATGATGAAGCTCTGGATAAAGACATTGATGCGGATTGGAGACTTTCATTCTTGAATGCGACGTAAGTGTTGCTGGAGGAGTTCAGGTTAATAAGGTGTTAGTTTCTGAGATTACTGAAAGATGTGCAGCAAGAACTGAGCGTCACAGATTCTAAAACCTGTAGTTCAGCGTCCCTTTCGAGTTTCTTGTCCTTCACATTTGGTTCCTCTTTATTGGTTGATGTTGTTGGTTTGAAGCTAAAATATGCTCGGAACTTTACTTCTACAACTGGTAATTATAAATGATAATTTGGACGAAAGGCGGCCAAATTGTTACTCAATGCTTGTTGGACTCATTTCAAGCAAACTTGTCGTATCAAGTTATTTTTCGTGTCTATAAATTTTTTTTTCCATATTTTGAATTTGTCATGATGCTCACAGGTTAGACATAAGAATCTAACCACTTAAGACATTTTTCTCTTTGTTCTACAGCGGATTCCCGCGAAGTTCATGAAGAGATATGGGAAAACTCTATCCAAGGACGTATTACTGGAGCTTCCATGCAGTTCCACATGGAAACTGGGGTTGAAAAGCAGCGTTGGATGTTCCAACAGAGTTTGGCTGGTTGATGGTTGGCAAGAATTTGCCAACCAATATTCCTTAAAAATAGGACACGTGCTAGTGTTCAAATATAAGGGAAATTCTAAGTTTCGTGTTGTGATATGTGATTACTCAACATGTGAGATAGACTATCCCTCTAACCCTATCCAATGTGATGAACATGATCAGCTTAATAACACTGATGTGGAAAACCAACGTTCCAAGAGGAAAGAAGTCGAGGAAGGCGATTTTCAATCTCCATCACCGAGTTCAAGGCCTAACAAGAGGATGAGGACGAGTCCTAGTGGTACAACTCAAAGCAACTCGCCTTCTCCTGGACCTAAAGACAATTTTCACTTTTATTGCAAAGCTCTTTCCTTTTGAGCTTAAACAATATGGTTTTATTATTATATACCCTTTATTTTTACTCGAGTCTCTTAAATATTTTTGCAGGGCGGCATGGTGTTCCTGACAAAGGTGATGGAGAAAAATCTACCACTATGAGAAATAGCAAACTCGAGGTCCTTAGAGGGATGGAGAGATTGACCAAAAATGAAAAGTCGAAAGCTCTCAACATTGCTAGTGGTTTCAAATCAAAAAATTCATTTTTCAAGGTTGTCATGCAGCCATCCTACGTCCTAACTAATTGCTTGGTAAGCGAACAAAAATGCTTTTATGCGACAATGTCAGTAGAAACACAAACCATTTTCTGTTGTCACTTCGAAAATTATTCTCATAATAGTCTCCTTTTTTTCCCCTTGTGTATTTTCAGAAGGTTCCGACAAAATTTGCAAGGGAATATCTGAATGATAAAGCTTGCAAGGTGAAGCTGAAAGTTGGCGAGAACAATTGGGATGTAAACTACAGCTTTGGGGACTCTGCTAAAAGTTGGCCAACACCCAGATTCAACAATGGATGGAGGAAATTTTGTGAGGAAAACAATTTGGACATTGGTGACGTTTGTGTCTTTGTTATGGCTAAAGACAGCGCTGAAATCTCATTCAAAGTCGCCATCTTTCGTGCAAATGAGAATGCAAATCCCTCCTTGTCTCCAGGTGAATAAGACCTCAATTCAGTTTTAACTCTTTGAATGTTGCTCCATATTTATGCATGGCACAACATGTTTTCTCATGTTTCTTATGTTTTTCCTTGTCCAGCGCACGCGGATGGAAGAATTCAGAATAATGAAACTGATTCTGACTCTTCTGATATCGGTTGTCGTGATGGAACTTACATCCCTGGCACTTCTGATTCTCCGAGGGCCCGCCTAAAACCGGAAGGGACTCGAAAGCATCGACCACCATTAACTGCAGCTCAAAAAGCTGCACTTCTTGAACGATCCTGCAACTTCAAACCGAAACATCCTTTCTTCAAAGTAGTTATGCAGCCATCATATACTAACTCCAATTCATATTTGGTCAGTCTTTAGTAGAAAACATATACTACTTTTTGTTAAAGGAGCATAGAAAATACTACGTACTCATTCTGTTTTCTTTTTTCTTTGCAGCCTGTACCGTATGAATTTGCAAAGATACACATTAAGAAGAATCAAGTTCGTTTAGTTCCTCGCATACCAGACGGTAGAACATGGTTTACAGAGAACAAAATCAGGCAGCAAAAGAAAGGACAACCAAAAACAGCTGGCCTCTATGGTGGTTGGGCAGCATTTGCAGTGGACAACAATTTGGAAGTTGGAGATGTTTGCATCTTTGAGCTTGTTAAAGGAACCGAAATTTTGCTTCAAGTTTCCATTGTTCGACTTGATGATGATGCATACCGCAAATTGTGCCAAGGTTAGTGATGAATGTGATTTCTTATGCAAGAGCTCAGTTTTGTATGTTCTTCAATTTGCTTGGTTTGACATAAAGGCTCTTGTTAGGATTTTAGTTGGCAATTTTTTACTATGGTTTTTTAGAAAAATTCAAAAAACAGGTTTGAGAAGATGATGACGTGTTGAGCAATTTTATCTGATCAAAGCATTTGAATTTCAAGATGAAATGATGAGTTTCAGAGAAGATAAGTTGCTGAAAAGATAAAAATAAGGAGTCAAAGTTTTAAAGAAGATTTGATGAGATAATCATAGTTTAAATTGAATTAAATTAAAATTCAATTAAAAATAAGATTTGGTCTCAGCAAGATAAAAGTTTCAGGTTGTGCGTTTTTTATAAAAGATAATATGCAGAAGACGTGTGTGAAGACAGAGTATAGATCATCAGAGCAAAATTGGTGAGTTTGGATTTTAAATTGAAGATCAGATAGTGTTGCAACAAGTCGTCGAACAGATTGTGCGACAATTTAAATTTTGAGTGAGCGTGGAGATAATTATGAAGATAATTTAAATTTGACTTAGATTGTGCCAATGTGAAAATAAGGAATATAAATTTTATAAATAGAACTTAAGATCATTCATTCTGTGGGCTTCATGGGTTTTCATGCATAATATTTTGAGAAGTTCCCATTATCATTCTTCGGGAGAAGAAGTAGTAGTCTTCGGGAGATGACGTTTGTAGTGTTGAAGGGAGTTGAACCGTTTACCGTTATTCGGGAGAAGAATTTAAAGCTTTCAGGAGAGAGCGACCAGCTAGGCAAAAGGATTTTACAGTGCAGTTTTGAAGACGAATGGTGTTCGCTGAATCAGGCCATCTAGTTGATTCTATACGACGGCGGCGGTAAATTTTAAAGAGGGAGCCTTTATTTGTATAAGTCCGATTGGTGTTTGTAATAATTGAGAATTAATGGATGATTCAATGTCTGAGCGTGACCCCGTGGATGTAGGTGTTTACCGAACTGTGGTATCAATTCCCTATGCCTATTTATTTATAGCTTTCATAGTCTATTAATTTAGCTCGATAAAATAATTGTGAAAAACGGATCTAACAACTTTTTTTTTTCTTTTCTTTTCTTTTAGGGTCCGAAGCTGCAACTAGTTCAGCCAAGCTGAAGAAAAGTGTTAAGACTCAAAGGGGAAACAGATTGTTCTAGCGATGAATAGAGTAGCTTGTTTATAATGCTTAAACAAAGGAAGAATTTCAAATGCATGTCATTTGAAAGGCTGTCTTAATATAACTTACCATAATAATAGATGTATTAGAGTAGCTAACAAACGCATTTTAAAAAGTTTTAGTTCCTTAAAAGTTTTGTTGTGTCTATTTGTTCGTTTGGAAAACTCATTAATGGTTTGTGTTCTGGGGAGATTGTAAAAGTAATTATTCTGCATGAACTTGCTTAATATTATTGTCTTCGTGTTATTGTGGTTTGGTGAAAATGGTAGAATGTGTACAGGAGCCTGATTACTTGCCTCCAGCCGTGGACATTTCTAGCCCATTTCTAGGCCTAAATGGGCTGTATGGCCCAATTTTCTAAGAGGCTTTTGGAATGGATAACAAACAAAAACCAAACGAGAAAATAATGGTTTGGCATGGTTTTATGCTAACCTATTATTTATGTCACTCTGAATAAATGTTATTCTGACTTTTGTTTTCTTTTTTATTAATTGAATAGCAATGATTAATTTTTTTAATAATGACATAAATAATATTTTTTTATCCCATTGAGTGGTATTTCTAGTTTTTTTCCCGCAACAAACGCTAGTGACTAGAAGTGACAGAGAAGCACTGATTTTGGAAATACAATGATCATCAATTCGGCAAAAATTTATGACATCCATTGAGCGACAAAAAAATAATAATAAAAAGGACAATTTTTTAGACATGCATTTTCAACGCTGCTTTTTGGAGATGCATTTGATTGAACACCAATCTAATCAACGAGATGAAGGAAAAAAAATGAGGAATTGCAAGTTGGAAGTCAAGGTGTATTAGTCAAACTTTTTTGCTGGAATTGTATTAGTGACATTTTTTTTTCTTTTTTTAATCAATCAGTTATGAGAATTCATTAAAGAACCTCTAAAAAATTAAAATATAAGACAAATTTAAAACTATAAAAACGGGTATGACTAACACGACTATACGCTTTCAAGTAAAAATAAATAAATAAATAAAAGCCAACGTGTGTTATGATTGATTGAGTGCTTTCATTTTCCTACACACCGTGCAACCTTGACTTATGATTGGGCCGGAGAATCCAGCGGCAAGAAACAAATTAGTGGATACTGCTTAAAAAAATAATAAATAAATAAAATAAATAAGAAGTTGGTCACTACCCATTACCGCTTTGATCGAACTCGGGACGAATTGGAGGGCCAAAACGTAAAATTGGTGGTACGTGATCGCAGGCTGTCCCAGAAGAACCTGAATCTCACAATTTTGTCCCCTTCTTTTCCTTTTATGCCCCAGCAATAAATCCATTGCTCCTTAGAACTCTAACCTTCCCAAGTTTTATTATTGCACTTGTGTCTGCTCAAACTAGGAAACTATAATCATACGAAAAACAAAAAACTAAGCAAATATAATTAACATCTTGGCCGGCTATGGGCCCATGTACAATAATGAGATAAATGATTAATTTAGTAGTATTGTGGATTTTAAAAAAATTACTTTTAATTGTACTGAAAAAAAAATAGTTATTATAAAAAGTAGTTAGGTATTTAGCAAATTATAATTATATTAGTTGCGTTGATTCTAAAATCAGTATAATAACGTTTGGTAAATTATGAGGTTGAATTACCGTGGATAGTTAAAATGACTAAAATAGACATTATATAAAACTTAAATATATATAATTATTTTTTGTATTTAGAAATACTTATTTAACTTTTAAAAAAAAACATAATGCCATGATTCTGAGTTTTCTAACAATAAATTTATGATGATTAATTCTTTTTTTTTTCATTTTTTCATTCACAATATAGTTACAACAAAAATTAGTGAGTAATCAACATATACAATAAAAATGTACATTCCATGTTCAATCATCTAATGGTGTGGCTAAGTTCAATGTGTCATAGCAAAGTATGAAGGAAAAAAAAAAGTAAAAAAGAAGAGATGAGAGTTTTGGGTGGAGGGGAATAAAGCAAGATTATAGTCTGTGAGGGTAAATAAGGACACAGTTGGTCATTTTCTAAAGTTTTTAGGGGTATTTTTGGTATTATAAAATTATCATTAATGTTATCGTGATTGACCAGGAATCTAAAAGCAGAAGCATCAAAATTGCCGCTTCCGCTTCTAGCTGTTGATTTAGCTGAAATTTTCTTAGAATTGGTTTTTGCACTTTTTACCAAACGCTAAAAGTAGCTATGGATGGATGTGGAATCACTTTTGAGCTCTGAAAATCACTACCAAACTGAGCCAGAGTCGGTCTCGTTATAATGCAATACAATAGTTGATGTCTCCTTTCTCTTCAGTATGAACTCTAACACATTATGGTATACTACTACCATTATTAAGATGGGACTTTCTCTAATGTTTTTTCTTTTTTGAGAACATTGGTGTTTTTTATTTTTTGACCATTAGATCTGTATCAGAATTTATCTGTTCTGAATATTTTTTTTCAATTTGTTGTTATTTTGATCAGATTTAACTGGTGAAAAACAAGAAACACTAGTGTTTTTAAAATGGAGGAACACCGGAGAGATTCCCTATCAAGATATATATATATATATATATATATATATATAACGTTATTATTTTCCATTTAATGCCAACGGCCATGGTTCTAATGTGGACAATATGAGAGGACATCCTATAATGTTTTGAAAATCCACACCTATACAATATGGTGAGAGATCCGCTTGGAAGAATTAATATCGAATGTGACATATCAAAGCAAATAGCACATAGAAACCATATCTCAACATGTTAAAATGCCTAAAATTCACCATTATCGTATGCCAGTTAATAGCATTCTTTGCACCGCATTGTTACCAAGCACATTCATGATTATTATTTCTTTTTTTTTTTTTGTTCAAGAGCACATTGTTTTTATTTATTTATTTATTTACCTGTGAAGCTAATCATCTTTGGTGATATTCATATATATTTTTTTATAAATAATTAGATGAATATTGAAATTTTGAGACAAACGCCAAACAATAGTTCTAGAAAACTATTTTAATCTTCCTCGTTCACTTAGCGGATTCGAGTTCTCAATTTGAGTTGAGATGTGACATTTTTTGAGAGTTTTTCACTGTAGTAGAAAAAGTTATATGTGACATTTTCTGAGAGTTTTTTACTATATAAACCTAAAACTAAAAACTCGAATCGGTGTAATCTTTTATAATTAATTGATGTAATAATCTTTACAAATAAAAAAATGACAACTCAATTAAATAAAAAAAATTTACGATTAAAAGTCAAATGCTTCATTTCACCGATTTAAATTTAGAATTCGAGTTATGCTACAGTAAAAAGCTCTCATAAACAGTCACATTTATTTATTTATTTTTTAAAATTTTTTTTACAGTAAAAAATTCTTACATAAAATCACATCTTAATTCGAATTAAAAACTTGAATCAACGAACTAAACAACCCAAACTTATTTGAACGTTAAAATTTAAAACGTGTATACAGGGCATTTAAGTAAGTGCCTACAGTACCATTCTTTTTCTTTTCTCCCACTTGAAAGGGACATCTTCCCTCCTACAATTAGAAAATCGCAAATATAAGAATGCAATCTATTTGCTTCGTTCTCTCCTGTACATATGTCTACCTAATAATAATTATAAAAATAGTGATTCTATTCACACCCCTATTTTTTCTCTATATCCTCATTTTAATCAAAACTTTTTATTATAAAATACTCTTACATAAATTGACAAAAAAAAAAAACAATCATGATACACTTAATTACATAACTAAATTTTATAATAAAAATGAAATTAATAATTTTGTTTTCTCTCCACAATATATAAACTAGTGCTATTTTGCAATCTGTAACGAAACCAAATTTTTGAATCCTTTTCCAGCACAAAAAAAAAAAAAAAAAAAAAAAAAAAAAAAAAAACTCAATGAATATTCTAAAAAATTTCAAAGAAGTATACTATTTTTTTTTTCTATTTGTTCTACGACAATGGTTCATTTACCTTTTTTTTTTCATTTCGTGTTTTTTTTTCTTCCAATCATTTTATTTTCTTAAGACTGATCGTATTAATTTTTTTATTTTTTTATCAAGTTTTGTTGATTGCATATTTTTCATTTCATCCTTTTCTTTCCCTCGTGGTCATATGCTTTCTAACAAGTTTTGCTTTTTTTCGTCAATTTCTCTTTTCGGATCATATATGTTCATATGATATGATTATGTTGCTATTCTCTTAACTTTTTATTAAAATATTTTTGAGTTCTTTTGCTTTCATTATTTTAATTGTTTATTTTGCTTGTTTCTTTTATTTTATTTTTGATTATGCCATTTTTGTTTTTTAATAACAAATTAAAAATAAAATAGTGGGTGTAAAGAGAAAAATGAAGTGGTCCAAAAATTAATAACCTTATTAAAATAGTTTAAGGTCAATTATGGAATAATTGGTGTGTAAAAAGTAAATCTAATATTTAAAAATTATGTGAGATGTGTAATTAGAAAAGAGTGTAGAGAGTATCAAAATAGGTGTGAATAGAATCACCTTTGTATAAATCGAGGTTGGATATTGTCACGTCCTGGAGTAGGGGTCGGTGATGTGGAGCTCGATTAGGGGTTATGCGCATAATAATAAAGGAAATTCCTAATGAGCCCCACACTTAACTAAAATAAATCACAAAGGAGAGACTAAAACTCAAGCCTCTCACACTGTACTAAACACAGGATCTATCCACAGGATCTCATTACCGTACATACATGACATGTAAATAAAACATTACAGACATCATCCACAGTCTAGAAATTCAAATATCAGAGTTTACAGAATTTTACACTTCTTACATTTCTACACCAGGAGGATGAACACAATCCTCACTTGATCGAACGGTAGCAATTAATCCAGCAACTTCGTACCGCTCATAGAGTCGCTTGGGAGGGGTTTAATACATTTAAAACATAGAAAATGTGAGCGAAATGCCCAGTAGGATATAATTTATAAAACTAAATAAATGAA